TAAAGCATCCTTGGGATATAAAATGTTGGCCTATGAATTCAACAAATTGCGAAAAGCTTGTATCGAACCATGTGTCAAAGATGAATTTGGTGTTACTTTGTAAACCACATACACAAACACGAGGCAAGCAAGTAGCTGGCCTGAGTCATGCAGTCATGTTGATGACATCAAAGAGCCGGGATGGGTATACTGTATCATTCTAAGAATGCGCTGACGGCGCACATGATGTTTGTATATAGGCGGCCAGAGGGACGGTGCTGTAACTACATCCCGCCAGATAATCTGCTGGTAATCAGGACCACACACTCTTTTTCTTGAATTTCTTTTGGGTCAGATCATCATGAAGCTGCTTTGGCTGTTTCTGGCCATCTTCTCGTTCCTCGCCTTGAGCGATGGCCGACCATTCGGCGACATCAGGAGCCTACTCAGGCGCGTTGATACACCTGACCTCTGGGGCAGTGCACACAGGCCTGATGAGCTCGATTTTGGCAAGAAGGACGTAACAGTCGTCCTTCGCGCAGACTCTCGAAGCCCAGAGGAGATTAGACAGGCAGGAGGGTTCTTCGCGAGGCCCGGTCCGGACACGACTTCAAGATACAACCTGTTCAACCACATCATGGGCAACCTCGAAAACACAGCCTATGTCTCAACGACTGAAGAACTCTCCGTGGCCGCCGCCTACGCCAGGAATATCAAACTGCACCCCAACAACAAGGAGAAGAAAGCCTACATCTACAAGATTCAAACTTCATCCCGGTTCATAGACATGAACAGATCGATGCGCATCATGAAGGGCTCAAGTGGTGTTGAACACGTTGCTATGGTTGGGATCCCCTATACAGACATCATTTCATCCACCGAGGCGACAGACGCAGTATTGGAAAACCCTCAATCAGCTCAATTCCAAGACAATCCTGCTTTCAAGCCGAGAAGCAAGCCCGGAAGCACGATACGGCCGGAATTGGCCGTGTTTCCACCGTCGCACCCGGCCTGGAAGGCAAAGCCCTGGTCCACGTACAAGAAACCGCTTGATCTGGTACAGAAGTTTAGCGAAGTCTTGGATACTATACAAGAGAATCCCCCGAGAGAGGCCTCTACCAGTGCGGCCGAGGACAAGGCAAGAAGCAAGCAGGCCCGGAAGCAGCGCCAGCGCAAAATCAAGTCCCAGAACAAGCCTCGTCCCGGTGCGGGCAACGAGGGCGCGACGGACGGCGGCGACGAGGGCCCCCCTGAAGACGACGGCCAGGATGGTGAGGGCACATCATCCGACAGCGGGCGTCGGCTACGGGAGAAGAACCGGAAGAAGCCGACTCAGGGTTCGCACGCAAGTGAGCCGCCGGAAGACACTGGCGATGATGGGAGCTCTGCGGGCGAAGACAATAGATCCAAGGCCCAGAAAGCAAAGGATTGGATCCGGAAGAAGTTTGGCAAGAAGAAGAACAAGAAGACGAAGCCGAAGCCAAACCGTCCGACAAGCAGCCACAGCAGCGGCAGCGACACTTCGCACAAGCCTTGGACTAAACCGGGTCGTAAGCCTGGGCGTGGGGGTCATAGCAAGCTATAGTTGAGTTGCGGCCAAAACTCCTTTTACATTCTTGTATCGAGGGCTCTAGGGATACGCTAAGAGGGCCTATAATAAATAGTACTCTAGATTAAGTAGAAAGACTACGTTTACAGTATAATTTTACGAATGTAGGGTCGAGGACGGCTGATACAACTAGGCTGGGCTCTCAGATACACGCTCAGCCATTTCAATATCAATGTGACTTGCGGATATATATAACGGTCAAGCCGCTTAAGCGGCAGCTATGCCACCGAGCTTCTAGAACCTTCTATCAATTAAAGCGATAGAGGTATTATTATACTTCATAAAGTTGAGTTACTTTAGTTCCACTTTATTATAATACTAGAAGTAATGCGAGAATTATAGAATACACCACATCAGTGTAGTTAATTGGGACCTTGAGTAAGACTATATCCCAAGACAGTCCACATTGAATCAAGGGTCGTCTACATGAATCATGCAATTTATAATGTATTTGGCTTAGGTGTACCCCTGTTATATGTTAAAAATGTCTCGCGTTAAAAGATTCCTAATGGTAGTGTCCGGTGAGTTTAACGATGTCACGGCCTATATTATGTCACGAGCAAATAAGTAGCTATAAAAGAGTAAGAATATAGGAAAGTACTACTAGAAAAGGACCTCACTCCTCTATTTATTAATATAGTCATTATTAGGAACTATCCACTATTTACTAGCTACACTACAGCAACCTTCTTACTATCTCTCTTTCCGCCTTCTTTGTGCTAGCCGCATCATTGACAGACGAGGATAGACAGACCAAGGACAAGCTGCGTGCCGAGGACACAAGGCCGTCATCTCAAGTACATAAGGCGTCATCTTGAGTACATCAGGGCGCTCTTGCTATCTAATTCAATATATTGTGTCTTGCCTTGTGCTGGCTGTCAAACGCAGGTCCTCTGATACCTATACCTGACCTACTGAACTCGGTCTCCCAATTTTCGCGTGTCAAATGTGCAGCATTTATTTCCAGTGACAGGCATATATTCACGTCGAACCAATGTCAGACGCTGAAAAAGATCTTTTGTCTACCTCGTGACTATAGACAGAAACCTGAATGGAGTAGATTGTATTTCTCCAGCCTGTACCCCAGGCGACGCCCAATATCTGTAGAATGCTCGACTCCCGAATGTCCCGCACAGCTGCTGCTTTCCCCGGATCATGTATTTCGACTTCACTCAAATTCCATATATTTGTGTGTAGCCGTTTCTCGAGCGAGGCATGTACATTGTTTTGAATCACAAAAGGGAAAGAATACTCGCTCCCATCTTTTACGCGAAAATCCAGACGGCTGCGCAAGCCAATGTCGGTATCTTGATCCTCGGGGCAGTTTGTATAGCCTTGGTCGCAGGAAACGGATTCAAAAATGATGCATTGTACCGGATCAGTGCAGTTGACTGGGATTTCGAGCAGCACTTCTTCTTTAAACTGCCACATGGAGAAGCCATTCTCCCACTCCCGGCGTCCTTGAGCGATGGGGGCGATTGCGAGATCGGGCAGGTTTGACCTGTACGGGTAGACTGCTGTCTCCCGTGCCGGCCACTGCAGATTTGCACGAGCGTTACTGCTTTGGAGAATTTCAATGATTTTTGAATCACCCATTTCCATGGCATAATCAAGTGCAGTCTTGCCGTTTTCGCAGGGGTGATTGACATCTAGACCCTCATTGATGGCCCTTTGCAAGTCCTCCGCATAGCCTGTTCTGACCAAGTACTGTAACTCCTGCGTCCGGGTGGGAGCGCTACCGGAAATATGACTGGCGAAAAAATCGCAACAGGCGTCGCGGTGCTGCAAGTAAAGAATATCAATCGGTGATTGCCCATTCTCGCCCCTGCGCGGAGTCGGGTCCGCTCCGTGATTGAGTAGCAACTTGGCCGTCGGCAGCTCGTCCATCCAGAAAGCGTCGTATAACGGAGGCTTCACCATCCTGTTCGCTCCGGATGGCACATCGACTTTGGCACCAATGTCAAGCAGCTTCTGGACAGTGTCGACGTGGCCAAGTCCAGCCGCAAGTCCCAGGGGCAGGATTGGCAGCGGATCTTGCACAAGACACTCGGAGGTGCAGTCTGAGAATTCCTCGATGAGGGTTGTGAGTTGGAACTTTACAACCCAGTATAATGCGCTCACAGTGCCCGGTGAAAAAAAGTCTCGCGGCAGATGCTCGTGTTGATCTCTCCAGACTAAAGCATTGTCTTTGAGGAAGTTTCTTGCTTCTTGTTGCAACTCTTGACTCCAGTCGTGGAATGGAACCCGAAGAAAAGCTCTGACGTCTTCACGTAATGAATCTCCAAGACTGAGAGGCTTCTCCAACCCAAGACCCCAATTCTGCAACGCAAAGGAACACAGTGGATAGGCAGTCAAAAATTGTGCAGTGCCGGAATACATGTCGCTCTTCTGTCGTACCAGGTAACGGAGGAGGCGCAGTAAAACGGTTGGTATATGCTTCTCAATTGTCGGGAACCATTTCTCTCGAGTAGTAGTTTGCTCCAGGTACTCGCTAAGAGTTTTATGAACCAGAGCTACTGAGTCATCATTTCGAGTCACCACCAGTCCTGATGTCAAGTCGTCGATGACGGTAGTCGTCCAGTCTGAGCTCTCTCTGGGTTCCCGATCGATCCATGCCAGTGCTTGTTTGAGTTGCTTCCGCGAAAGCGTGTTCTTTGCATAGGCTACCCAGAAAATCGCGTGAATAGCTTTTGAAAGGCGTCCGTCTGTTCGCTTGCGTTTTGCAGAATTCTTCTGTAGGCGATCCAAAGCGCGTTCATATGCTTCTTCAACTGTGGTCGGTAGAGCATGGATTATTTCCGCTTGATGATCGGAATCCTCTGATTCTACAATCTCGTCCATGAAAAGTCGAGCAAGAATGAAAAAGTTTTGACATCTCTCTAGCAGATCGGGTAACAAGGCATGTATTTTGTCGTCTGGCGTTTGGTGGGCTAGACGAAATCTTTCCAAGATGTAAAGCTTCAAGTCTTCTTTCGGGGCTGCCATCCAAATTTCTGGATAATCTTCAAGATATGTTCGTATTTGCTCGTATGGACGTGAAAGAACCAATAGTCGGCATTTTCGGTTGCAACTTTGGATGATTTTTTGGATCGTTTCCAGGCTGCTGATCACTTGAGATTGTTGATTGCGGGGAATTTCATCTAGCCCATCCAGTATCAGGGTAATGTCACTTGTCGTCACAGCATGGAGAAAAAGTTGCTGTTTCTGCTGTTTTCTGAGCTCCTTGTCGCTCAGTCTTGGCTTCTCGTTGAATGTCTCTTTCTCTAGGCCAGGCATTTTAAGGCGAGTTAGTCTCGGGTCGAAATGACGGTTATACTCGCGTATTTGGTCAATAAGATGCTTCCAAAAGCTCATGACGATGTCCATAGGATCCTGTAAGTCACGAATCCCGTTGATTTGATGAATACAGAAGACATGGGCCACCTGAGAGGTGAGAGGCTCCGTTTCCGACTTGAGACGTTCGAAAATGCCGAAACTTTGGTATAGGGAGGTCAGAAATGGCAAGTACGTTCAAGCAGGAGCACCAATGGCCAATCTTACGCAAGTCCAGTCTTACCACATCCAGCTGTACAAGAAGATGGTAGATTTCTGACTGTGTGTGGAGTTAGGCACAACTCACCGGTTCCCTTGATCCATAGACAACCATCACGCGACTGAAGCCACTTCTTGAACTTCTGATCCCCAAAAATCCATTCACCGGTTCCTTGAACAAGATCAAGGCCGGCTGGCTGCAGCAGAATTTTCTTGCTTACTTCGGGTGCATTCAACAAGATGAACTGTTCGATTTTGGAATCTAGCAATGTCATAAGTTTGTTGATCCGTAATACTGCACGGCAGCTGAAACTCGGTGCAATCTGGTACTTGATCAAAAGTTTTACTTACCCCTCTCTGTCTTTTGAATTCGGCGGGCTATACTCCTGGTAGTGTCCGCCACAAGATTAGTCTGGACTGTGTTGTTGATTTCGGCGCTCTGCCCAATTATCTCATTGAAATCTCTCATCTCTTTTGGCCACGCCAAACTTGCCATAAATCTTCGTGTTCTAGAGTTTGGCGGCCTCAGCTGAGCTGCTAGATGCTCGAGCTGTTGGTGAGTGAGGACCAGCCGCCGGTAGTCCGACTTGCTCGGATCCAGCTTAGATGCAGTGTTCTGCACATCTTCCATCAGGACACACACTTGCTCTCCCAAAACACGTCTTTCACGTGGAGCATTGCAGATTGTTTGGACGATCTTGAACATGTTTGAAACATCATCAATGATCTTCCGAACGTCCCCGTAGGATGTCATAGCTGAGTTTAGATCTTTTAGCTTGGCTTACGGCGACAAGGTTGAGATTATTGTTGTTATTATCTCATCGGGGATGATCCCCTTGAGTGTCGGTGTGCAAGCACGTGATCGTGACAGTGAGTTCATTAAGATTGCTTTTTAGGGGTTCTGTCACATATTTACGTGACCCCAAACAGTGGTAGATAGGATGTCACTATCCCTCATTGAGCAGCTAGTATCTGGGCGGCCTGACAGGAAAATGAGGGGTATTGACATGCCAGCTCATACGTTTGTCAATTATGCACGAATGAGTCAATGATGAAACTCTTCCTCCGTGAGATCGATTGTAGCGATGATATGCTCCGCTAAGCACCTCGAAAGCTCTGTCAAGGCGCTGGCTCGGCTGGCAGTAGCAGGGTGCGAGACAACGACACGGCCGCAGCGGCAGGAAAGACTGATTATTCCTGATCCGGGCTTGAGTGCATATCGAACCGCAACGGCCGCCTATCAGCATCCAGGACTCTCTGGACTGTACAGATTGCTCCCTGTAGGCTGCCCAGCTGCTAAGCCATCTCTTAACAGGCGTTGTTGTCACCTTCAGGCCGGTCATATGCAGCTGCCTCCCCCACCTATTACCTCGCGTGTCACGTCTCAGCCACGGCAGAAACGACTATACTGCACGAAATCCCCGATCATTCGATCCTGTACTGCACATCTTGAATAGGAGGCCTCTCATGCCACTTTCAGGTCTCTTACTTCGCTCTCGTATACTGCATGTGTTTGCAGAGGCATTCTTCATGCAATCAGCGCATGCAAGTAGATAACACCGGTTGATCACGAGGTTGATTAGATTTGTCATTGAATGCCTTGTCTGAAGGACTGTAGCCCTTTCCAGGGTCGCTCCAATTGTTCACTTACCAGGCGGCCGCTTCTTGGATGACCGTTTCGTCGCAGCTACACCATACAATACTCATCAGCTGACTCTTTGACACTCTTATCTGCTCACCTAGAATATCTGAGATTGCTACCCTCTCACGCGATGTATTTTACGCACTACCTCAAAAGCCTGCGAGGATTATAATGCCGAACATGGATTTTGCAATCTACGAGGGTCTTTGACTGAGAATGACGGATGCATCTAATGGGGTGTTCTTCTGGGCTGACCTCGTTGTGGATGGCAAAGATAAAGAAGAATTGAAGAATTTGATTGATGATTCGGAGGAAGATTTGAACAAATTATACGAAATGACATTGGAGAGAGTCCAAACGGCAGATCGAGCACAGGCAGCTGCTCTTCTACCTGGCCGCCTTTAAGCCGCAGGGCGAGACTTTAACGGGAGGCGACATCACGATGATTTGGATTTTGGCTTTTGAGGCGAGATTGGAAAAAAATCCTCACATCAGCGAATTTGGCATTCCAACGCCAATTTGGCTCATTACTTTGCGGATATTTGGAGCAGCCACGAGAAGCGCCCGCCTCGCTCCTCTGGCAAGGAAGCATCATCAAGGTCAGCTGGAGCTTTGGCAAAAGCTCCTGGGAGTGTGGCCGTCTGAGAGCAATCCAAGTGACGCAGAATTCATAAGTGGCAGCTGACGAGAACAAACTCGAGGAAGAAGAGGACCCTGTCAATGATGATGTTCTATTCTGCGTGGAGATTGAGCAGATGTGGGATTAGCACTTATGTCGGATCCGACTCAAACTTGCGCGCACCTCCAGAGGGCTCGACAAGCGTCTCAATCGCCGGAGCATCACAGTGTATCTTCGCGCTGGTTGTGTAGCGGATTCGCAAATATCGTTGCCATATCACAGAACCTCTTTAAAGGAAAAGCCCCCTTATTAGTTATATAATCTAACTAAGATTAAAAAAGAAATAAAGAAAGGAACTTGGATAATATATATAATAACTATATATAATGATAATATAAATATATAAATAATACTATACTTAGTAAATATAAGTAAGTAATATATAATATAATTTCTTAAAAGTTTAATCTCTTAGATAACTTAAACTATCTAATATTAATATAAACTTATCAAGTTTAATCAAATAATAAATTACTAAATTTAATATAATTTAATAATAACTTTTAATAATATTTTTCTAGTAATAGTATCAAGGGAGCTTTTAATTTTTAGCTTATACTTACTCTCTAGGTATTAGTATAGGCTATCAAGTTATGACTTTTTACCGTAATATTTTAAAGTGATTGCTAGAATAAGAAAAAGTTGGCATGTAAACCTAGCGTCTTCCTTACGCGTAGCTCGACGCCGCCTGGGCGCTCATGGGGCGGCGATGGACCAGTCATTGCGCACATTCGATCCCATCGGCCTCCACGAGTCAATGAGATACTATGCTGGATTACTTTCCATTATGATCGAATGAAGAAACTACAGGTAGAATGAGAGAATGTTTAATGTCATTTGTAGGTCAAAGATGTTGGCTCCCGGCGTTGTTCTCGTCGCTCCCAAGAGAGTGCCTGTAGCGACCATCCAGAATCAATTCAACGCCATGGTCATGCGCTTGATACCAGAGTCAAATGCGAGCCCCTAACTCCATGCTGCAATCCTGTTATTTGCGCACAAATATCATCACTCTTCTGGTAGAATGTTTTGTTTTGAAATTGTTCAGTTGAGTGCCTTCGGGTTGGAAGGCTAACATGTCATGGCAATCGAAATATATTTCTGTGCTCTACAAAGAGCTGTAAATAATTTAAAAAAAAAGGGGGCCGCTTGAGCTACAGTCTAATACTCCCCTCAAATAGCAAAGTCATATTAAACCAACAGGAGTAGAAATTGCTCGCCGAATCCTACGTTTCAACCCGGCCCCCGACGTGGCATCCCACCACAGAAGCTGTCTCGACGCTGCTCTGGCAGTCGCGTGCATAACGCCAGTCGCAATGGCTTATCCAGCTGCGCAGATTGAGTTTAAAAAGCGCTTCATTCACCCATTTCTGGCAGCTGTACTCGGGATCGTCGGCAAGTGTCGGCCTGTGCACCTCTGCAAGCACCCGGATCAGCGCGAGCGCATCTATATCTACTTGCAACAAGCACAGCGGATACACCGACAGCGTCTTGTATGGGTCCGATGAGTAGTGCCCCAAGGACCATCGGAATATGTAGCGATCTTGGTCCGCGATGACGTCGCATATAAAGTTTTCGTGGCCTCTGCTGAACATGAGGCTGGAATGCAGGTTGCAGGGCGGTTCCAGCTCGGGTCTTTCGCTCCAGATCATGATAATCTGCCATCGCCCGAGGAATTGCCTATTAGACATTTTGTGGTGGTAAACGTTTTTTCTTCTCGTGACGGGAATTTCAAGGTCAAAGTTGGACATTTGAGAGGGAAGTAGCAAGGAGCTTGGCCGCTCGAGCATATTTTTACCATTTTTCTGCAATGCACATTATGCATCCTCATGACCATCGCCTCGCAGTGATTCAGATTCGGATATCGAAGATGAAGTCGCTCAAATGCTGTTGATGGAACGAATTAATGGCCAGTGCTCTGCTCGGCGCTCACATGACAGCAGCCTAATGACGCGACGTTGTGTGAGTACTACAGTGTCGTTTCTATAGATCTGCGACTCACTGAGTAGACTGTTGAAATGGCGGCTTGGGTGTCACTAAACACGAAAATGACGCCGAAAACGCCAACCGGCGCTCACTTTAAGTCTGTGCAAATCACAACATTGTGCCGAAACACGGCCGCATCGCTCGAGATAGGGCAAACCAGTGGCTTTGCGGGAGTCATCAGAGACGCCGACTACCGCGCAGTATTGACCAGGCAGCGCGTCACGCAGAAACATGATTGGGTGACGACGGATACTTTGGTCGCTTGCCTCGATCATTCATGCCCGAGCAAACTTTGAATTATTACGGTCGGTAGGGGAGAATGAACACCGCAGAAGCGATTGCTGGTGGGCTCCAAGGACGTTGGAGGCAAACGAAGAAAAGCGAAAGTGCTCCATCGACGCTGTGTCTCACCAACAGTCGCATGTTTCGGAACGTGCAAATGAACATAAAAAAAAAGGACAGGAGAATATAAAGTAGGACTTGGCCAACGTAATCAATCTTTTCATCTCTTGTTGTTTGCTTTCGCTGCACCTCGGCAACAACCAGCCCCACATCATATCGCAACATCTTCACAAGTGCATTGTCTCTTGGCTCTCTTTGCCCTTCGCTCTCCTGGCCAAGCCATACTCTCATCTCTCGTTGGTCGGCCATCATCATGAAGGCCCATCTGTCGCTACCGTCGTCGAGGCAGACGAGCGCCAAGACCCGTGCGCTCATCTACTTTATCCCCGGGAACCCAGGCGTCGTCGAATTTTACACTGATTTCCTGCGGTCTCTGCGCGCACTGCTCGACAAGACGGAGAGCGACACGGCTCATGACATTTACGGGCGCAATCTGCTTGGCTTTCACGATGGCGACCACGAGCCCTTTGGCCCGAAAAATCTGCCCTTTGATCTAGACGCGCAAGTCGAGGGCATGTGGGCGGATATTGCCTCACAGCGCTACGGCGACGGCGACGGCAAGGAGAAGCCGTACGACTTTGTCATTCTCATTGGTCACTCCATCGGCGCTTACATTGCCGTCGAGACATTTCACCGTCAAACGACAAACCCCAAAGCCAATCTCAACCTGCAACACGGCTTCCTACTCTTCCCTACAATCAGCTACATTGCGCGCTCCCCCAGCGGCATCAAAATCACCGCCCTGCAGCAAAGCGCGTACCTCCCCGGCGTCGAAGAGAACCTGCATCGCATCGCCAAAGCTCTTGTATACTTTTTGCCCCAGTCTACGCTCCAGTGGGTGTGGGCCAGGTATCTCGGCTTCAGCGCGGCAGCAGCCGCAACGCTCGCCGAGTGGCTCAAGAGCCGCGATGGCCTGTGGCAGGCCATTCACCTCGGCCGTTCAGAGCTCAAACTCGTCGGCAAGGACAAGTGGGACGATACTTTTTGGGATGCCGTGACCGCGGCTGGCAGCAGCGGTGGCGTGGCGCCAAAGTTTTTCTTTTTTTACGGAAAGCATGATCATTGGGTCGATGACAGCCTCCGCGACGAGTTTATCGCGCGCCACAAAGAGCGTGGGGACTCGCCGGGACGTCCATCGCTCGAGGTCGATACCGGTGACATTTCTCATGCATTTTGTACAAGAGAAGGCAAGTCCAGAACTGTTTACAGTGTTTGTGAGAAGTATCCCCGCTAACAAGAGCAGACACGAGCCTCCAAGTTGCCGCCAAAGTCCACAGTTGGGTTCAAATCATCGAAGGCGTTCAGAAATCATGTCAATGAACCCTTGGAGTTGCTCTTTCTCCCTCCTCTATACAGGGCAGATGGCATCTTGGTCATTGCGCGTCCACATTGCAAGTCGGCAAACATGGCTAGAACCAGCCCATCCAGTCCACACGAGGGATTCGCTTACGGGGTCCTCGTGCAGATGATCTGGAGAAGATGCCACCTGAAGATTATCAAATCGAATACATCAATGTGCCTTTATGCTATGCGGCTTGAACATGCATTGTGGCGTCAATTGCTGGCAATTAGACCTTGGTGGCGTTGGGGGCAGAAGCGAGGGACCGACGACACTCAAACTTATTCAACATGCTGCCAGTTTCTTCTAAACAAAGAGCAAAACTATATATATCTTCAATAGAACCTATTCCTTGACAAGTTCTCGCAATTTCACTTGCATCATTTCAAAACATCCACCCATTCACCCACCAACATCGTACTCGACACGCTGCATTTCCTTCAAAATGCCTGTGTTTCCATCATCTACACCAGCAGACCACTCGAGATACGGCATAGATTGGCCTTGGTGCATATGGGCCAGAGAGTCACTGCCGGATGAAATCTTTTCTCCGGATGCATGTAAAGAAAAGACGCCACTCGTCACGAAAATTGCAGGCATATACGAAGCGCCGCTAAACGACGACGACCACGTCAAGCTACGATTTACTGGCTGCCACAATGCCGCATTCTACTCCTTATCCCCTGCCTCTCTTCGTGCTGTAGCACCCTTTCCCAAACTGATCAAGGAAATTGGCGATGCAGCCTATTTCCTTGGCACCTCCTGTAAGTTCCGGACGTTGCCCACGCGTCAATGAAAGTCGCAGCAGCGCAAGGCTAAACTAACCATCCCAACCCTGTGCAGTTTTCCCGGGAAACCATTCAAAAGCATCCAGATATCTTAGAAGAGTGGAAAGAAAAAATCCTATCCCTCCAAGCATCCGCCGGTCTGTCTTTGAGCGCGATCTCAGCACGTGCCTTGTAAACGGCACCCGGACACCTCAGCCCGCGCGAATCGTGCCTCTGTTGGTCAGCAGCTTATCCACAAAGAGATTTAAATTCTTGTTCAAATTTGGAAAGCTTTTTTTCGCCAAAAATTTCCAATCGTTGCTTCAGAGACGCATAGAGACCCTGCGCGACTCTGGAGAACAAACGTACAATATCCTCTCCTTGAGCCCCGACATGCTCCAGCTGTTCGACAAGGCCCTGGTCGGCTTCAAGCCCCTCTACGTCGGGGCCACGCGGTCTGGACACTCGGTGACATATTATGCCACGTTTTCATTCCACATCCTCGGGCGAAACCACGTCAATAGCCATCAGAGAGCCATGCCATCTGGTGCCACCCTTTATCGGATGCAATTGCCGTGCGAGGAGTGGAAGCTGACCGAGGGTGAGATCAACGCCCTCGATGCATGCATTCTTGATGACGGCAAAGTCATTCGAGTTCCATGTGAAGGAAGGAGCGAGGCCGAGTCCATGCTCGCGCTCTTGGCTTTTCGCTGGACAATTTCCTCGTATTGGTTTCTTGCGGGCTCCCCGGGCAGTCAACGTAACCGAAAAATGGGTTCACATGAGCGTTGTGACCAATATGAGGATTGGAGCCAATACGATAATCAGAACCAAGACGACGATCCAGAGCAAAATGACGCTCTTGTCCAAGAGAACGGCACGTTGGCGATGACCTCGGTCACAAACGCTATAGAAGAGTTGGCAGGAGAGCTTGAGCAGGCCGGTACTGAAAGTGGAAGCTAAAGAGCTGCCATACATGATAATAAAAGAAAGTGGCTAATCGAAGCAGTCAAGTATGTAAACTACTCGGCAATGAAGGACTGATGGAATGACTAGCGCGTATTACCAGTCACGTAAGAACAGAATATAGATCATTTGAACAAGCTTTGCTTCATACATTATCATCATCACTATGCCCATCTCTCTTCAACACAATCATCGGAGCAGCAGGTTTTCTACGCACCAGGACCATTGGTAAACTTGTCCAAACCAGCTAAGCATCAGCCACAACGCGGAGTGGGTGGAGGTATATATACATCATTGCAAATCACGGGCGAAATAAGAAGCAGCTCAGCTTAATTAAAAATTTACCATTCCAACATTAATATTATTCAGACCAAACTGGTTTATTAATTTTTGTAAATTACATCCACTCTCCAGTGACAATGGCTTCTTGTCCCACTCTGAAACTGATGGTATTTCAAGTTGCCAAATCCAACAAGACAGGAGAGCTCCGTCGATGCATCGGCGTAGATCTCTGCCACGGCGAGATGGACCGTCGACTTTCCAGCCTCATGCTTCCCGTGTACCCCGTATCCTCAAGCACAATGCAGTGCTCGCTTACAGAGCGAGGACGGCGAGGACGACAGCGGCAGCTCCGACAGAGAGACCGGCGGCACCAGCAATGGGGACAGTGGTGGAGGTGGTCTGGTTGTTGACGGGAGTCTGGGGAACCAAGGTGGTGTCGCAAGGGATGCTGGTCCACGAGGTGGTGACGGGAACGGAGGTGGTGACGGAAGCAGAGCTGCCGCTGGTGGCAGAAGCCGAGCTGGAGCCGGAGCTGGAGCCGGAGCTGGAGCCGGAGCTAGGGGTAGTAGAGGTGACGGAAGCAGAGCTGCCGCTGGTGGAAGCGGTAGCAGTGCCCTGAGCAGCGCAAAGAGCCTGGACGGCGGGAAGAACCTTGCCTGTAAAGGGTTTTTTTGTTAGTGGTTTGCTTCATCGTGCTTGCACGGCGGAAACTAGGGAGGGGGGGGGGGAGCTTACCGACGGCAACGTCGGCGCCGCAAGACTGAATGACACAGCCACTGGCCGAGCCGCTGAGCTCAGTCACATGGGGGCAGATGCAGGCGTAGTCGGTAGTCGAGCAGCTGGTGCCGGACTTGACGGCGTCGTCAAGGCAGGTGGTGGCGCAAGAGGGAATGTCCTCGCGGGTCTGGGCAGCAGCCAGGGCAAAGAGAGCGGCAACGACGGCGTACTTCATCTTGACGGGTGAGTTGTTGAGGAGGTTATTGGTGGTGGTGGTGGTATGTTATTACAGGAAGAAGCGAGTGTAAGTATTTGGCAATGGGGAACCAAGAAAGGGAGAGGGAGGGTACGGTCGAGGAAGGCGGGGGATGTGGGCGAGCTTTATGTAGTTAGGTAGACGAACAAGAAACTGCTCATGAGGATAGCAAAGTCGGGCTGCGGAGCAAGAAAGTCCCATGTTCATTTTGCTATTCGACATTGACTGCATACGACCGAGATTGGAGTGGGTGTGGGCGGTTATCGGGGGGCGTGCAAGTCTCTTCCTGGCTTATTTATTTCGGTTCCACCATAGTCGCCGGAGAGGGAAGTCGACAGCCCCAGCTTCTGATTCTCCAAGGTTGCGCCTGCGGTCTGAGACGAGGAGAGAGATCATCAACCCAAGGCGGGACCCTGCAGTAGTTTGGTCGACGCTATCGGCGGCCGCCTTCCCTTGGGGGGCCGAGAATGGCATTTACTGGGGGGGGGGGGGGAGACAAAGTTTCGTCAGCTAATAAAACCTGTCTAGCTAGCCCCCGGTCTATATTAAAATCAGCAGCTGGTTTTGGCCGGGCCATCGGTCCCCACCGCGGCCGTCCGCCGAGTTATTGGACAAGGGCTCCAAGGGCCCCAGCGATTCTATTGACAGCTTGGGGAAACAAAAAGTTTTGTGCTGATCTGCTCTGCAATAAGAGCACTGGTTTTAGAATGATGATATTTTAATCTCGCTCAGGTTTTTGCAGTGCGCGATAAGGAGAAGCAGCAGGCCATGCTCAACCACCACTTGTCGTGTAAGTCGTTTGGTGGGCGGCAAAGTGGTGTTGGTGCGCATCACCGCTTGCAGCAGAGCGCGTTCGCACCCGCTTGCAGCGGAGCGCTGCAACCGCTATTAGTGGCTTGCAGA